CGGTGCAGCATTGCCGGTGGGGATTTCGTGTTCGATGGTGGAGGCACACCCGAAGTCCTCATCATGTCTCGAGAAGGCCTCCTGAAATTCCCAAATTGTGTCTTCCAGCAACTTCTGTTGTCCTGGAGTCAGGATCTTGCAGTTCACCCCCCCATCCGGGCCATGATCACTCGACCACTCCACTCCGCTGTTGGGGTATCCCATTGATGGACCTCTACAGCATAGGTCCAGGCTGATCTCCTATCTGGCCGTAGCGTGAAGCTCCTCCGTCGAGGAATATCCCCTTCGGACACATAAACTTCGGCCAGCAAGGTATTCCCAGGGACGGTTAACTCACAGTCTTCAATGTTGAGGCAGCGCACAGGCACACATCCTTCACAATAGCGAGGGCCCGGGCTACCAGTGGATGAGTCTGTGTTTCTTCTTGGTAAGCGGGCTCGATCAGGACCTCCAGCCCATTCAACTGTCATCCGGCCCCAACCGGCAGCATCAATATTCGCTCTTGTCGAGGCGGGATCTTCACCGGGGTCCTCCGCGGCACCCTCACGTGTTCAATGGGCCGTTGCCAATACCTCGGCCCTTCTTTGGCATAAAGTTGGTGGTCTAGGTCTCTCAGCACGTTCATACCTTGTGTCATGTCCATCCCTCTCCGGGACGAATGATCCACCAGCACGACCCCCCCTTGCCCACACAGCCGGACCCACATCCAGACTATTTCTCGGACGTCCATCTCCCTGTTATTGGCAGCCGTCAGCTTGATGACGCTCCCGTCTCCCGGCTCCTTCATATGTCCAAAGTGTATTTCGAAGAACTCCAGAGGCATAAAGGTACACTCCGACCCTGTATCAACTAGGCAGCATACCTTCTGGCCTTCCAACTCGGATTCCATAACGGGGCTGCTGGCATACAGGTCGTGTTCCTCATGCTTAGGGCTTATATTTGGTGTACCCCGCCGCAGGACGCCCAGCTACTGCGGCGTCGGAAGTTTAACATCGGCTCGGACTTTATCTGTTCTCGGCACTCTCTGGCCATGTGGCCGTACTGTTGACAAGCCCAACAGAGGGGTCCCCTTTTGACGTGCCCCCGCAGCTGAAGTTTTCCTGAGTGGAGTGGCGCGAGGTGCTGAGGTCATTTCCAGAGACCGGGGAGATTCTGCCTTCATCTGGGACACTTCCAGCGGAAGTTCTCTCAATTCTGTCTGCAGGGCCTGGACCACATCCTTTAAGGATTCTGATCTTCAGATGCAGACTGACCTCTTGTAGCATGGGTACTACTCACTATTCTCGCTGCCACAGGTATGCACTCCTCTTCTCTCTCCACGGCGGCTAAGTAAATGCTGTAGAATGTCATGTTGGGCGCCGTCCGATTCATCTCTTGCAAATTGTCCTGTAAGAACTTGTTGGAGAGCCCCACTATGAACTGGTCTCGTAGAAGCCGGTCCACCTCCCGGAAAGCTCCCACGGCCTCTGGATCTTGCCGCTGTATTTCATTTAGCATCTCCTGTAGGGCATTGGAGTACTGCATCAGGGCCTTGCCCTCTTGCTGTGGTCGGTTGAAGAAATGGCTCCGCAACTGCACTACTTTAGCACGCCCCCCTTGGGCTCTCTCCAGCAGGGAGAATATTTTCTCTAGGGTGTCTCTCTCAGATTCGGGCCTTACCATCACTGTTCGTCTGACATCACCCTCTAGAGCCCCCAATGCCACCTCTACCCGCAGCTCGGAAGTCAGGTTGCACATTCTAACCGCACTTCGCACTCTTTCAGTCCAGTCCTGCAACATCATATTTTACCTTAAAATTTTGGCAGGTGACTCAACAGCGCCCCCACGGGAATGTACCCTACTGGTACGGGCAGGGCGGGGGCAAGCTGTATCAGCGGTGTTGGGGCAACTTGGTCTTGCACTGGGGCACCCTGAGCTGGGTCCTGGACCGGTGCCATTGGCGCCGGGGGAAGATCTCCCTCCACATTCCCGTCCATAATGGTCGCTGTATCCTGCCGACTACGCCACGTTGTAAGCCGTGTACCGGGGTGGGCTCCCCAGGATACAGTGAAGTCACGAACGAGGAAAGCAACCCCAACACCAGCTTTTACCACAACAGAATTTTACATAGATGTGACAAATAAACACAACCACAAATGCTGAGAACATACAATAAATTTACATACACCCAGCTCAAAGGCTGAGTGTTGCACAGCACAGCGCCTCCTGATGGATGAAGGTAGAGGGTGTAGTAATTTACCTACTGGCGGGCACAACTAAGCTGCCACACCTTACCCGTTATTACCCTTATAGAGCATGAATCAGTGTATGGTGTGTACGGTATGGGCTAGCCTGCGGTTCAGCAAAACAGCTTACAATCTTACACAAATCTACAGTATTCCCTTTCCCATACCTGGTCCTGTAGCACGTGCCTGAGTATTCCTTCTGAGCAAAACGCCAATCTGGCTTGAGTTTGTAGGATTTTATCAGCTCTCCAATGTGAAATGTCACTTTAAGTTGTGGAGTCCTTCCAATGATCAGTAACAACACTTGTAGCCTGACACAGTGACCCTAACTAACTAACTATAGGCCTGGACTCAGTCTCAAGGCGCCAACACTGAAATGAGGTGCGTGCACGATCTTACCGACCCTGGTCTGCTTTGCATTCGCTGGTGACTCTAAACAGAACAAATGTCTCTCCAACAAGCATGCGGTATTGCAGTATATATTGCTTAGTTCCTCTGCTCTCATCAGCATTCCTGGCAGCTTTCTTCCTTTCTCTGAACAGGATCAGGGTCTTGGACACGATCAGCTTCACTTAGCTGCAGCTCTAATTACTGAGGGATGCTTTCACACCTGGATGTCATCAGATTCTCAGCTCACACGGCCCCTGCACTCACCATCCTCCAATACATGGCTGCAGTCTCCTCTTCCTGTTCACTAAACTCCAACTTTGAGTGCAAAACCCCACCTCTTCATGAATATACAAATATTTATGCAGTCTGAGCCTGTGTTAGAAAAACAGTGACATCTTGTGGCTAAACCGCAGAATGTCAGTCAAAACATTTAATTTACTCCACACAAGCAGTATTCAAACAATGAGAGCTGTTTCCCCATCTCACACATGCGCTTCCTGGCCCGTGGCTCGGGACTTTATCTGCCCCCAATCAGGTCTTCCGCTCCTTCAGGGTGGGTCTAGGGATTGGTTAACCACTCTACACCTATCCTCCTTTCGCATGCACTTGCACTATTCCTCCAACATTTATCGCGCCCACTTTCTGAGATTGAACGGCTGTGTTCCCTCTCTGAACCACCGAGACATGTCCTAGCTTCTCTCTATAAAGTGCTCCACAATGCTCTTCACTCTGAACTCCCTCCCTACACTAAGGCATGGGCTCGAGACCTAGGTAAGGACATTTCGGTGGAAGATTGGTCCACGTCATTCCACTTTACTCACAAATTGTCTTTTTCTTGCTATTCACAAGAAAAGAATTTTAAGCTTTTTTCTCGGTGGTACAGGGATCCCCTCTCCCTACACAAAATCTTTCCTTCTACTTTGATCTTTGTTGGCGCTGTAATAGAGCTGTTGGTACACAGCTCCATATCTGGTGGGATTGTGATCAAATACAACCCTTCTGGTGACAAGTCTTTGCTGTATATAACCGGGTCTACGTTGAGTCCTTGGCCCCGTTGCCGGAAATTGCCCTTCTATCTATACTACCAGGCTCACGGGCAGCACAGAAGAAAGGTCTGTTGCACTTCTATCTGCGGTCCGCCAATTGATACCCCTCTTTGGGAAAACGGCCACCTCCCCCTCCTTTCCCGATGTGGGTCTCCATACTTAATGATACCATGTGCATGGAGGAAATGCTGACACCTATGATAAACATAAGTTGCTGTGATCGATCTGGCTCCATTTCTCCTTCCTGCGACTCTCCAAGATATGTGTTCCCCTGTTGCACTCTAGTTGAGCCTTGCTCCCCCCGACTAATTTTCATTTTGGCTTAGCCACCGATTTGACCCTGCAGTCCATGCCGAGATGCGGACAGCGGGGTCCCTTAGGTGAGATTCGGTTGAGGAACCACCCTACTTTGGCTTTCTAATATCCCCGTCTCCCATCCCCCTCTCTTCTCTCTCTTCTCCTCGTTTGCTTTCCTTTCCGCTGGCTTTTTTCTCCCCCCCCCCCTTCTTTTTTTTTTTTCTTTTTTTTTTTCTCTCTTTTTATTTTTTTTTTTTAGTTTACATTTTTGGTTGTATGGAGTTCTCTCATATTGTTTCAGACATCTCGCCCGGGGATACCCCCCTGATACTTTATTATGTTATACCTCTGTAATATAAGATATTGATCCTTTCCTCTGGCAGTTTTACTGCATCATTTTCTTACATCCATATGGATCATAACCTCATCTGTGATTTGTTTTTGTTGTTTATCTACTTGTACATGTTCTTTATACTTCTCATGCTATGTCTGTTAAATTTATGCAAAATAATAAAGACAAATTTGCCTTTAAAAGTTACAAAGGATATAACAGAATATGTAAAAAGAAAATCAAGACCACAAAAAAATTTCAAAATGAATGACAGATTGCAAAAGAGAGTAGGACAAACCCCCAAAAATTAATCAAATATATTAATAGTAAAAAGGTTCGGTCCGAGCATGTAGGCCTTTACAAAAGAATTTAGAGTGGGTAACTGGAGACAAAGAAGGCAAGTTTATTAAATACCTTCTTCAGCTCTGTGTAAAGAAAAACGCACTGGAACGCACATGTCCCTATTTAACCGCTAGCCTACAGCGCACTTATACCCCCTTCCTGCCCAGACCAATTTCCAGCTTTCAGCACTGTCGCACTTTGAATGACAATTGCGCGGTCAAACAACACTGTACCCATATGAAATTTGTATAATTTTTTAATGACAGAGCTTTATTTTGGTGGTATTTAATCACCTCTGGGTTTTTTATTTTTTCTTAAACCAAAAACCACTGAAAATAACCACAGCTAATTAGGCTGCACTGATGGGCACTGATAGGCTGCACTGATGGACACTGATAGGTGGCACTGATGGGCACTGATGAGGAGGCACTGGTAGGTGGCACTGATGGGCATTGACAGGCATCACTGATGGGCACTGAAAGGCAGCACTGATACATGGCACTGATATATGGCACTGATAGGCAGCACTGATAGGCGGCACTGACTGGCACTAATAGGTGGCACTGACTGGCACTGATAGGCGGCACTGACTGGCACTGTTAGGCGGCACTGACTGCCACTGTTAGGCGGCACTGATGCACACTGATAGGCAGCACTGACTGGCACTGATAGGCGGCACTGACTGGCACTAATAGGTGGCACTGATTGGAATTGATAGGTGGCACTGACTGGCACTGATGGGTGACACTGAAAGGCAGTTCAGATGTGCACTGGTAGGCAGTGAGTGATATGTGGCACTGATGTGGCACTTTTGGGCACTGGCAAGAGGCACAGATGAGCACTGACATAAGGCACTGATGGACACTGACAGGTGGCACTGCTGGGGCTACACTGATGATCAGTGTGCCCTGATGATTAGTGTACATGTCCCCTCTGCGGAAAGCCAATTATCGGCTCTCTTCTCCTCTCGAGCTGTCAGCGTGACAGCTCGAGAGGAGAGAAATGCCGATAACAGGCATTTCCCTGTTTACATGTGATCAGCTGTGATTGGACACAGCTAATCACATGACTGGACTGACATCTTTCACCTTTTAAGTTGCAATACTGAAATAAATGAACTTTTGCAAGATATTCTAATTTTTCAAGTTTCACCTGTATGTATGTTATCCAGCATTTCTGAGTAGAGGGTGCGGCACATATTGCACATTGTTGCAGCTAGATGTTACCCCTTTCTAGCCAGTGTCATTAGTACAGTGACAATGTAAAATATTGGCACTTATCACTGTATTAGTGTCACTATTGATATTAGTGTCATTTAGTCAGTGTCCCGAGGCAGCATAAGCTAGCGCCAGATTGTCCTCCACAGTATCACAGTCTTACTATAGGTTGCTGATCTCCGCCATTACCAGTATAGCATCACAGCTGTGTAAATTCCAGTATATACGTATACCATAGTTTGTAGACGCTATAAGGTTCACACAAACCACTTATATACACTTTTTGGGATATAGCAGAATACATTTTGGCCCAAGTTTTAAGAAGAAATTAGATTTTTTTTTTATCATTGGATATGTTTTATAACAGAAAGTAGAAAACATTGTTTTATTTTTCTAAATTTTCAGTCTATTTACATTTATATAATAAACAATTAAAAAAAAAACAGTGTTGATCAAATATCACCAAAAGAAGGCTGTATTTGTGTGAGAAAAAAATAATATACATTTAATTTGGTTGCAATGTTGCATGACAGTATTGCGCAGTGCTGAATAGCAGAAAATTGTTGATTCCCTTGAAAACGTCCGTTCAGTTGAAATATACGTTGGGGCAGAACCTGTGGTGAAGTCATCGCTTGCGCTGGAGCTGGTAACAATGACGCTGGTTATTTGAATTGATATGGGCATTACACTGATCATTTTGTGAGTAGATATACAGCTTTTTATTCAAATAAATGTAGCGGTTTTACACTATGGAGGTGATACTGCTGGATTGGAGAAGATGCATAAATCTGTTATCTGTTGGTATTTTCTGTGGTTCCTGTGTGTGAAGACTCATCAACCATGTCCACACACCTCTGAGCTTGTTTAGACCCCCTATGATTTGGGGTCTTGGATTTTGGTAAGAGGCTGTGTGTGACCAGGTGGAGGGATGCAGTAGAGGCATTGTATGACACAATGCACTGATGGTCTTATCATGAACAATTCAAATGTGGTGTGAGTTTTACTTTTACAGTATATTGGTGATAGTCTGATAAGTTGGATGGGACTGATGATTTAATTTGCTGAAAACTGGTTAACACTGAGATTTATACAAAAGTATTTGTGTAGAATAGCAAAAGATGCCCTGGTCATAAAACCTTTTGGAGCTCAAGTAGTTAATATAAATCAGTATATACTATATCAAATGTATGATGTATATGATTTATGTGAATTAATTATGGCAATTAACATTTCTCAATTTAGTATCACTTTAAGAATACATATGTGAAAAGTGTCACATCTCGGCCCTTCAAGAAGTTTGTGATGCTGGGAGGTGGGGCAAAGGTACTTTTGTTCGGGAGTGTTCCGATCATGTGACCATCGTGACAGCCAATCACGGTGGTCACATGACATTATATAGGAGATTTACTAAAACTGGTTGACTCAGAATCTTGGGCACCTGTGCATGGTAGCCAATCAGCTTCTAACCTTAGCATGTTCAGTTAAGCTTCAGCAATAAAACCTGGACTGATTGGTTTTTACAGAAGTGGACAAGATTCTGAGTCAACCAGGTTTAGTAAATAAACCCCCATGTGACCACCATGATTGGCTGTCATGATGGTCACATGATCGGAACACTCCTGAACAAAAGTACCTTTCCATGAGGCGCCGGTAAATGTGCTGGGAGCATGCAGGACGCATGCTCTCGGCACATCTGTTTACATTGGGTACGCAAATATACGGCCAGTCAGTGCCAAGACCGAGCCGCCGAGGGATCGCATATTTGTGTGTGGTCGGCACCAAGGAGTTAAAGTAAATCTAGCATCTGATACATTTTTCATGTTAACTGAATGTTTTCTAAAATATATGTAACACCTACAAGTATTTGTTCCAGCTTACAGAGATCAATCAGTTTTATGAACTGATCTGGCATCTCTGAAATGACCCAAATTACAAATCTTTGATTCAGATCAGTTCCCTGCTGCTGTCTCTTATCTGGTGACCTAAAACAAAATTACGATATGATCGTTTAGGCAGACATGTGACTGGAAGTTTAAAGTGATTTTAAAGGTTTATCTTTTTTTAAGAAAAATTAAAAAACATGTCTACACTTGCCTACTGTGTGCAGTGATTTTGCACAGAGCAGCCTGGATCCTCCTCTTCTCCTCTTCTCGGATCCCCCGCAGGCTCACCTGACCCCTCCCTCCTGTCGGGTGCCGCCACAGCAAGCAGCTTGCTATGTGTGTCCATTCACACATGGAGCCCTGGCTTGGCCCCACCGCCTCCCTCTTCTCATTGGCTTTGATTAACAGCAGTGGGATCCAATGGCTCCCGCTTCTCTCTTTGCCAATGAGAAGAGGGAGTCCGGGATAGCAGAGACTCCAGTGCACATCGCCAGATCGAGAGTGGGATTAGGTAAGTATTGGGAGGGCTGCACACAGAAGGTTTTTTACTTTTATGGATAGGATGCATGAAGGTAAAAAACCTTGAGCCATTAGAACCACTTTAACTACTTCTGAAAGATAAAGGTAAGTTCCGGTTCACATATATGCGGATTGGATGTGGTTTGAACCGCATCCAATATGCATGACATGTGAAATAACATTGCTTCCTATGGTGCCTGTTCACATACTGTATGTCCAGTGCATTGGCAGTGCAGATTCAGTGTGGATCGGAAAAGAGTCGTGTCCGATTTCTGAGCAGTGCGGTCCGGTTCAGGTGCAGATTACAGGCTATTGACTTCTATGGGAACCATTTCTAAATGGCACATGTCATCAATTGTGAACAGGATAAAATCCTGACCTGAACCTGATCTAAACCTGTCCTGAACCTGATCTAAACCTGCCCTGAACCTGATCTAAACCTGCCCTGAACCTGATCTAAACCTGTCCTGAACCGTTGAACAACCACTGTATCAATTAGCTGTGAAACCTGAGCTTCAATCCATACTGCACATGTGTGAATCAGCACTAAAACATGTTTTGAATATTTATATTTTTATTGCATATTGTTAAATGTGAAGACTTTTTTTAAGCAAACCTACAAAGTTACTGAGAGGCATTCTTCAAGAAATAGATGTATGGACTAGACACCTGTTTTTCCTTTATGATCAGCTGTGAAGTTTGGCTAACTTTTTATGCCACAGTTCTACACAACAGGAATTTGACCTAACCTCCTAATTCCCTCATACAGTAGAAGGAGCAACTGCCTCATGTATCTGCCCAGCCATACTCTGCACAGTCTATACTGCAATTAATAAATAAGGCAGCTAAGGCAGCTTGCTTTTGTATTTAGTTTTTTACAGATGTCCCACTGGAAGATGAGGTTTCCTGCTGAGAGGAGCAATGACCTGGAAAACATTTGGGCAGAATGAGTAACGTGTGATGCTCAGTTAAATCAAATGTTGGGCACTAGATCAGAAACTAACAAAATAGCAATCACATGATTTAAATGTGAACTGATTTGAGAGGGTTATTTTTAAATATTGTTTAGCTCAAATAATTTTGTGACCCTAAATGGAGTAGTTGATGATTAGCCACTTTGGGAAAGAAGCAATTTTTTTTTCATTTTGCACACACACGTTTAGGCCTCGTTTACAGTTGAGTTGCTCTCTGAAGAGTGGTTTGTGTTTGTATCCTTCTATAGAGAGCATTTGACAGGCAGTGAGGTGTTGTATTGCATTGTCACTGCCTTTTTTAACCCCTTAAATGCCAGACTACCACAGGGTGGTTGCAGTGTGGCCCTATTAACTTTACTGTGTCATGTTTGGCAGGTAGGGGTATAATTCCTGATAATTCCTGAACACCCTGGGTCGCTGACTTTCCAGTAAAAGAGGGAGGAGTTGAAGGGCAAAAAAATCTGGTGTGGATTGTGCAGCATGGTTGGAGCGTGTTACCTGCCTCCTTTGAGCAATAGATACATGACAATGATAGATAAATAAAGTGCAGCGCTAAAACATATCAAAAAGTTCGTTCTTAAAAATTCATTGTCAAAAGTTCGTGAGATATTTCAATCAATATAATGATGATCAAATGGAAGACACAGCTAGAAGGATCCAGTAGAAATGACAGAAATGCGCACTCACCGACCGCGCATAGGAAATGCGCATTTGTGTATTAAAATCACAGGTCTCGTACTTCCCTCAGGAAGGGGTGTCATCAGGCGGTGATCTGCTGGGCTCACAGGACCTCCTTAGGATCAGGATAAAGCGGCCAGGTGAGGGCTCCCTCCTCTAGGTGTAGCTGTGTCTGCTAGTCTGATAACCCCTCAGTGAGGGGTAAAAAATGGGAAAGTATCCCAAGGAGGAACTGACAGCTTGTGACGCCTCATTGCCGCCCAGACCACGAGGAGGTCTGGTGGCCATTTTACTTTAGGTCAGTATTAGAGTTTTTACCTTGCACTTTCTGGATTTTTGCCAGTTTCAACACTGACCTGTCCTGTACTATATCTGTTACCAATAAAAGTTTGACATACTACACTATGGGCACTTTCCCATTTTTTACCCCTCACTGAGGGGTTATCAGACTA